TGGCTCCCAGAGACTTCCAAATATTGTTACCAAAGTAGAATTCTTAACATAAAGGAAGGAGAAAATGTTACTAGATTCATGACTGGAGAGTTAGCATATAAAATATATCTAGCTGAAAAGTAAATAATACCTATTTTTAATTCTGATTACTGTTTTTACCTGAAATTGTTGTAACAAAAGGGATGGAAAAATTGTTAATACAGAAAATTTGTGTGAACTGTTAAGAGTTTGAAATAGTGCTGCAGCCAAATGTGAGTCCGGCAATGCTATAACCCAATTTGGTTTGGGATGAAATTTATAAAGTAATAGTGGTGGATGAAATATTTTTTTCAGTTCTGTATTCAGAAGTAAGAAAAATCATTCCAGGGCTGATAACTGCCTAGTCCTATTGGATTGAGGCAATGTGTACATTTTTTTTTAAAATAAGTAGCCCTCATTGTTGATATTTCTTCAGATTCGTAGCTACTACACTAATCTCAGGTTTCTGGTGATGACCTTTATTTACTTCAAGGGGAGATACTAAGGCGTCCCTTTATAAAATGGAAATGTCTCTTGGATTGCAGTCACTAACAACTGCTGTATCCTTGTGTGCAAACCAAAGGAGATAACGCAATCATACATTCTTCTCTGGTGCGGAGACAGATCTGTGGTAATACAATAATCACATAAAATTTGGCCGTGCCACAATGGCAGCAGCTCTTTGTTATTTTTCTTATCTCAGCAAACTGGATGAGTTTGCCAGTTTATAATCAGAATGTGTTTTACAGTATTTTAAATTGGGTGACATAAAGTGCAGTTTGTGTTTGTATGGACCTGAACTGTATGCCACCAAACAACCATTTTAGCTGTAGTTCTGAATGGTATGTAAGTTCAGAAATAACCTCATCAGTTGCTCAAATGGGTGTGGGAGTGCAGAGGTACTTTCGGGGGGGGGGGAGCCAAAAGCATAAGCATCTAAATTATATGGCTTCCCATCCTGCACTTTTGTCATTATCTTCCTGTTTTGAAGGGTAGCTCTTGAACGACTCCTCACATCCAGGTCTGATGCTATTGCATATAATTTAGCTTTAAATTAGTAAAGAAAACAATGGAATCTTTAAACTAGACAGTGTTCATTCTTTCAGGTAGACTCTTTTTGCCTTGGTTATGAAGCTGGAATTAACTCATCATGCTCTTTTGCCACCTGGGTCATTTAAGTAGCTGTCCCATTAAACAGAGTGAATTTTTGATCTCTTATGATGTGTCCAGTAACAGCAGTTGTGTATGTTATTCTAGATCAGTGCTTTCCAAACTTGGCAACTTTAAGATGTGTGGACTTCAACTCCCAGAATCACCCCCCCCGCCGGGGGGGTTTTGGGGTTTGAGTTCACGCCATTTTAAAGAGCCAAGGGTGGTAAGAGACTGTCTTGGAAAACATAA